TAAAAATAGCCTTTTTTTGCTAGTTCCCCACACAGCTTCTGAAGCATCTGCACCAGCAGAGCTGACGGGACAGGGCAGAGCAGAAGCGAGAACAGCTCCCAAGAAAGCAGGAGGTATCCTCAGAGGTGTGAAGCATCTTCTACACCTCAAGGAGATCTTACCAGCTGAATTTACATTACAGAGATGAAAGGCAGCCAAAGACATTAGGTCCTAAAGGGAGAATCCCATTCACTGGAAGAGGTTCTTGTGTTCTGCAACACAAGTGCAATGTTCTCTATACATTTAAGATTTGCTTGTATTTCACAGTTATTTCACAGAGCATAAGGCTGCAACTAGAAACTGGCTAAATGCAGAAGTGACTTAGCAGCTTTTACAGAGATTATTGCCCAGAAAACAGGGAAGAAGGGGAGAATGAGGGTATGTTTCCATGACTCTCTAGGACAGCAGATCAAGATTTGAAAAGAATCAGCACTTGCAATGTTTATTCCTATTGCCAACCTGCAAAAGCCTCTGAAGAAAACGGGGCACCAAATTTAATCATAGTTGTTTCAAATGCCCATCAGAAAAATTAAGTACCCTTTGCTCTTGAAAGCAGAGGAAAAAAGCAGAAGCATTTACTTTTCCTTTCCTAAAGATGCTCTTAGTTACAACTTCAGGCTTCAGTTTCTCTTCTTTCTAGGCAGTTCAGCTCTTCCAATCTTTAAGCGGGATTTCTCCCACCCGTCCATCAGGTGTCATTCCTGTCCAAAGTCCCCTTGCTCCAACAGCATCCGGGTGACAGCGCTCGGGCGGCCACGGGACAAGGCGGCCAGCGCCGTGACAGGGACACGGCCACATACCCTGTGTTAGGAGCACGACGCAGCTGGGAACCGCATCACACACTGTTGGAAAGGAGGGGACACGAGGCTGCCCTTGCAGGGATAACGCCCGGCGGGAAGCGAGACCACCGCAGCTCCGAGTGCGCGGGTCAAAGTCCGGAAAGGCGGCACCGGGTCACTGAGCCCCACAGGGCAACGGGAATGGGATTCCCCCTGGGAAAACCAGGAGCTGCATCCCAGATCCCGCTATCACGGGCACCCCAACCCTGTTATCACGGGCACCCGGGCCCCACTATCACGAGCTCCTGGACCTCGCTATCACGGGCACCCCCGACCCTGCTATCATGGGCACCTGCACCCCGCTATCACGGGCGCCCCAACCCCGTTATCACAGGCTCCTGCGCCCCGCTATCACGGGCGCCCCCGACCCCCATATCATGGGCACCCCGACCTCGCTGCGGGATGCCCGTGCCGGGTGTGGGAGCGCCCAGGCACACCCGGCTCCGAGCGGCGCGGGGCCCTCCCTGGCTTCCCCCGGGGCTGCCGGGGCTCGGCCCGGGGCTGGGCCGGGGTCCGCGGGGCGCGGCCCGGGGCCTTACGTGTCGCGGGCGGCGTCGCGCTCCAGCAGGACGATGTGGCGCGGGTAGTGCGCGCACACCTCGCCGTGCGCGTTGGCGATCACGCTGTAGCGGTAGTCGCGGCCGAAGAGCTCCAGGCAGCGCCGCTCGATCCGCTCCACCTGCGCGAGACCGCCGCG